CGTCATCCCACGCTTTGCAGAATCGGCTAAATATCAAGACAAGGCCGTCTCTATAGAGAATACAGGAACGCGCCATCAAGTTGCAGCTAAAACAAAAATATGGCCTTATGTTGGGGATTCGTTGTTGCTCTTGTGGCTCTTAATCTTGGTCTCTCAGGTATGGACAACGMATAAGTCAGTGGCGGGGAACGTTATCAACTTACATTAACTACCTCATTCAATTCAATATCCCTCTTCGTTGAGACATAAAAAATACACGTTTTTTTAAACCATATACTGTAGGTTTTCAATGGAAGTTAAAGCTTAAAGATTATAGAGATTGTTAAAAGAGGAAAAAAGTGGATTTGTAGTGTTTTTTTTTTTAGTTTTTCCAACACGTCACATATAACGCTGTGAGACCAACGAGAATGCACTTAAAGGATAAAACTGGAGCGAAAATGGATTGAATATATTTGCATACCACTAAAGATCAAATCCTGAGTAGCTGTTATAGATTTAACGAAATATGTAGCATATATATCCAGATCAATACCAGGCTTAGCCCCTGGAGATGTTTTCTAGTTAAATCTTTGTCGGAATAATAAAACGAAAATTAAACGAGAATTGTCTTCAAGCATTTTAATAGTGTTTGTATAGTTTTGCTTCCTCAATATAAATTCTCACTTAAAGCGCTCTTTTATTCCTAATATTTAATTATTGTATCTCTGGRGCACATCAGAAATAAACTAACTAATTCCCAGCATTAAAAACGTGCTTTTATTATACTTCTTGATGCATGGAGTGGAATTTCCTGACGTCGAAAAATCGAGACTAGAAATTAATTCTTCTATTCCATTGTTGTAGCAAYAAGCCGAAGCTGATGTCTGTCTTTGCTTGTTCGCTTAAACAAATCTTTCGATTATCAAATCTACAATCCACTCAATCTTTCTTGTTGAGTAGGGGGTGTATTGGGGACGTTTTCAGGTTAAAACTTAATTCTCTTAGGTTAGACTGGTTTAAAATCATCGCACCACTGAGGAATAAACTATGAAAAGCAACGATGCTCAAGCACAAAGTTAAAAAATAATTAAATGAAAAATATTGACGATTGTTGACACTGGAAGAAAAAGTGAGCAAACAGTATGAATTTGCATTTCTGTTATACTAGTAACAGATACGGTCTAAATGTCTCGCAGAAAAATGTCAGGTCGGGAAAAAGTTTGCTACATATGGTAGGCTTGTGAGCGAATCTTAAGATTTTAAATTTTTTTAAAAATTGATTTTTTCTTACTATCTGCGAAAGCATTGTTCAAAAACAGCAAAAATTAAATTTAAAAAATATACATATCATTTTAATCACATCGCTTGGTTTTTTAACACAAAAATGATTAAATCAGTATGGAATTCATTGTCTGAACATTTTTGGTTTCTTTGTATTTCACATTCTTCAACGGTTCTAAAGACATGGAATGCTATGATATGCTAACCATACACGGAGCGCAAGCACTTTGAACAACAAACTAATTGAGACCATTTTTACGACCAATCATGATGTAGTCTAAAAATTGTAGCCAATCAAGTAGACTTTGCGAATGTCAACCAATCAGGAGGAAACAACAACAACAACAACAACAACAACAAACAGGCGTCGAAACGTAATTGAGTCATATCGCCTTGCCTCACCATAAGCTCAGAATCTAATGAAGATTTTATTTTCAGAGGCCCAAAGCAACATTAACAGTACAGTTGCTATCATAGTAAATCCGGATTCTACAACGCCCGCTGACGCAGGGCCAGTGGTACCAACGACACAAATGGGAGCAACGACCGCACAAACCGTAGAAACAACCGCCGCAGTAATTGTTCCAGCCACATCTACCTTGAGTCCATGCCGTTTTTGTAAGTACATGGAAAGCATTAGTTATTTCCCTATAAAATGCTAGCCAAGCAAAAAAAGTACTTAACAGATGTGACATTTATGGCAGAATTCGGTAGTTTTGGCGTGCGAAATGTCCCGTCAAATCTACAGGAATAGGTTTCCGGGCCACAGAGTTAGGGATTAAATGCGTGAGCTTTGGCGCGAACGTTCCCCCCTAAATCTGTGACGTAGTTTCGGATTCCATTGCCTGCAATAACTGCTATAGGCGGAAAAGGTTGTCAATAGATTAACCTGCATTTGAAAAAATCAGAAATTTGGACCAAACAGTATTATGTTCTTGGGGTGCCACCACATGACTCAAAATCTCTTGAGAAATAAATATAGCAATGAAATAGCCGCCATCAAGTAAAGGTAATGGGGATYGCTTTGTTATCGTCCACCAACACTGGCGGCTATGACGTAACATGCACCCCAAGAATAGAGTTCCCAATAAAATTTGACTTTTTTACCAAAAAAATAAAACTAAGATTTTAGGAGGGATGACGCGCCTTCCTAGTACAATAATCTTGTCACTTACTTTTGCGTCTGATAGGTTCGTAGACTCCCCCTTTCCCGGTAGTCACAGGTTGTAGATCTTATTGTTAATCGGCATGGTTGGGATATCACGGTTCTCTTAAACTCTTCCAGATACATATTTGATAGTAAGCTTTAAAAGTAAAAGTGGATGCCCAGTGGCAAAAGACGCCTTACTTAAGTCAAAGGTTAGTAGGGCAAAATATATCTCTATGCTCTATTAACCTTTTTATGTTCATCAAAATTTGGGATGAAATATTGAATCACTCTTGTATATTTTGATACGCGCGCGCGTTCACTGTTTTCCCGCCAAAAGAGGCTTTTCACCATCACATACCCATTCCCATGATACAGCTTGGGCTGCCTGTGGTTAGATGGCAGAACAATRAAATCCTCTGCTCTCGSRAATTGAATTCTCTCTCATGTAAARCGAWTGTATTCAGTAAAWTTTGGGATAAAAGATYGAATCRWYCTTGTATATTTTGGTAAWCGCGCGCGTTCACTGTTTTCCCRCCAATAGAGGTTTTGCACCATCACGTKCCAGCGCCCATAATGGGCTGCCTGWAGTTAGATGGCAGAACAATAAAATYCTCTGCTCCTGGKAATTGAATTCTTTCATGTAAAACGATCGTATTGTTCTTGTCATTTRATATGGCTGYCGTCACGTRATGGKGCAAAGCCTCTATTTCTCAAGCATGCGTATTTCATTTTCACTAGTTTACAAACATGAACTACTAGACTATACGTAGTCACGTGTAGATTATCACATGTATAGGGCTTAATATCATTTCTGATTACGGCATTTATCTTGATGTTGACCCTAAATATGTAATATTTAAAAATCTATATCCAA